TCTTGAATGATGACTTCCAACATTTTTGTCATCATGGAGGACTTTTTCCAACACTGATGGTCTCATGTTTTGAAAGATTTTTGTCTCAAGAATGTTAATACTTAATGTTTCACATTTATTTTATTACAAAGACATAAAATTTCCCATCCATGGAAGCTTCTGAGGTATCAAGTATTCACTTAGCTCAGTTAATGTAATTTCACCCAAAAGCAAAGAAATCGCACAACTTAGTCTTTGACAAACAATTGCAGATTTTTTTTTTTTGAAATAATCTGTGACCCATATATCCTGACCTAAGAAGTATCACCTTTCCCAATATTTCTGTGGATTGAGGGACCCTAATCTGGAGATTGAGTCATCAGCAGGAACAAAGAATACGTGGCACACCTACTCTGTATGCTTCTGAGCTTTGTGGAATTACAAAAAAAAAAAATCGACATATACCTAGCTGCCCAGAACTTCAAACTTAATTTTATTTCTGTTTTTATTACAAAGAGTATTACAGGCTTGTTACAGAAAAATGAGAAAATATATATAACAGCAAAAAGAACATTTTAAAAAATCTCCGAAGTCTTTTTCTACGCAAAGATAACATACATACTTTCTAAAACATAAATGGACTCTTTCTGTATTGGTTTTATAATTATTTTCAGTGTCCATAAAAAAATTCCTACAACATTTTTAATAGCTGCATAGTATCTCACTTCTAATTTCATAATTTATTTAATCCTTTATGGTTGGACTTTGGGGTTTCCAACCTTCTAAAGTTAAAAATAGCTATACTTTGAATATTCCTATAAATAAATCTTTGTATGCATCCTTAATTATTTCCTTGGGATAAATAATTCTCCTAAAGAGAAATTGCTGGCATGTATACTTTAAAGACTTTTGAAAGGTGCTGCCAAATTGCTCTCCAGAAAGATGGTGCTAACTTAAATTCTCACTCAGGAGTTTACATTCTAATTGGGATTGAAGATTTATACAGGTGAAAATCACTTTAGTATCAAGAAGAAGCAATGTTAGGTGCAAAATGACTAATAATTAGAGCTTTGAAAATTCAGAGGAAAGAGACAACTTTTAATAGGCAGATCGGTACCTTTCTTCAAAGATGAGGAATTGGACAGATGGGTCGTGAAGGGCAAGGGAAGACCCAGGAGGGAGGTGCCACATTCACAGTGGGGCACCATGGGGACGCACAAGAAGTGTCCACTGATGTCATGAGTAAGGGCCACGCTTGAGCAGTGAGGGACCAAGGCTGACCCAAGTATGCTAACTCAGGTTGTCCTCCCTTTCTTCTGTTTCTCATGAACTTAACACAGACTGCACTCTTATTCTGGCTGACTAGGGAACTATAAGTATATGAAAAAAAGTGTTGAAACCAGGATCAATCCTGTTGAAAAATCCATTCAATGTCTAGGAGAATTTTCATGTTTGAGTTCAGATAATTAAGAAAGTTATATTCCATTTATAACTCAATTGCAAATTTATTAAGATTCTGAAATTGAATTCACATTCCAATGTTATGTCTTTTTTCTTAATAGCAATGAATAAATTGTCTCAAGTGGTTAATTGAGGTATTATGGCAAGCTTTTGTGTATTCATTTTCACTAAAATTTCAAAATCATTGAAGTAGAATTTCCCTGTCCGGGTTACATATCACGTGATTTTTTTCTTTGCACTTTGTTGTATGATCTGTTCTTTAAATGACACACTAATCTTTACTAATTAAGTCTCTTTATTATTTGGGTTATCGAAAGTTTAATAGCTCTGAATTCTTAAGCTTTGGGGTTTTGTTTTTATTATTTTTTATTTTTTTGAGACAGGGTCTTCCTCTCTCACCTACACTAGAGTGCAATGGCATCATCATAGCTCACAGCAACCTCAAACTCCTGGGTTCAAGCGATCCTCCTGCCTCAGCCTCCCAAGTAGCTGGGACTACAGGTGTGCGCCACCATGCCCAGATAATTTTTGCTCTTGCTCAGGCTGGTTTCAAAGCAGTGACCTCAAGCGATCCTCTCACCTCAGCCTCCTAGAGTGTTAGGATTACAGGCGAGAGCCACCTCACCCGGCCTAGGTGGTTTTATTTTTACAGTAGTAGTAGCAGTGGCAGTAGTGCTCTGAGTTGAGCCATGCTTTTGCTTTTTAAGATATGCTTTATCAACCATTATGTTGTACTGTCTTAATGTTGAGCAGTGGTATGTTTTTTTTGATGCTTGCCACGAACATTTGAAGAATGTGGAAAGATTTCAACACTTTAAGTCCCACAGAGGTACCGATACGAAGATAAAATGCAGAGCTTGGGCTCTGACTCTGCCCTGTTTCGTAGACCACTACCTCGTCAGTCATCTTGTGGGCCTCTTTACCTCCTTTGGTTTAATGTAGAACATTTATCTGATGAGAGGATCTCCCAGGTGGTACCCCTGTTTCTGACCTATATTGCATTTTCATTCTTTCAGTGGACCCGCTATCTTCAGAATGTTCTTCTATTTGGTAAACTGCACCAGTGATGTGCTGCCACGGGGCACCTAATAGAACTCCTGATTGAAAGGTGCAAGAGTTGCTCCCAGAATCTGCAGAAATAATTTAAGAACCAAAAGACTAGAATTCTCCATTACATACATTAAATTGTTAACCAATCATAAAGAATTCCTGGTCCTCAGTTGGATCCAGTAATCTCCCAGCAAACATTGGCTGGGTGGGATCAGAGCCCCCCTCTGCCTGATTCATCAGGATATAAATAAAACAGAGTCTTCTAATGCTGCACCATTTGGAAGAGGTCTTTCCTGAAGAGACCACTTTGTGGCGATATTTTGCTTTCTGCTTACTAGTTCTCTAGGTTCATTACACTATTTCCTTTTTGATGAATTACCTATAGAATACCTATGCTATTTAATAATTAATTTGTTACACAGACTGCTACTTATTTGCCATGGAAAATAGTATAAAATGCCTTTCTAGAATTTGAAGTGATCCACAAAGCAGCAAAGCTGCTAATTGTGAAAATATTGGGGCTATGTAAATTTCCCATCTTCTTTTATTAACTGACCCACATATTTCCTGCAGCGCATGTAATGTGCAGGAGTGCACTGACAAAAGATGCATTGGTAGAGCCCACTAATTAGGCCATTTTTGATGAGCTGCTCTGAGATGCACTTGATGTACAGGCTGGACAAAAATCAGTATTCCCTTATACTCAATAAATCACGGCACTGTAACCCAGTGGAATTGGCAAGGGACTGGCCACACTCAGAAGCTGATTAGGGCTCTCACTGCATTTTCTTAAGGCCCGTTTTGCTAAGAATTATTTTAATTCTTTGCTGACTGAATTTCCATCACAGGGAACTCTTTCATGTTCATCTCTCCAGGTGCCCTTTTAAAATGCAGTGACTTGTGGCTTTAAATAATCACAGCGTCCTATGGTTTCTCTTTCCTCCAATGGTGAAAGAGAATGGCTGAGTCAGAGCTTTGGGCACTTCTGGGAGGTAAATGGGGGAATTATTTACGGTTGTGCTTCAAGCTGGTCATAAATGGATATGCTGATTAGGCACATTCACTTTGATATCCAGTCTGTCTTCTTAACAAGTAATCAAGTCCATTGGAACTTGAGCACTTCTCTTTTGGAATACATGATGTGCTTGGATACAAAGTAATATTTCTATGATTTTTTTTTTTTTACAGATTGTTATAAATCAAAATGAGAGTTTGAAAAGGAATAGTTTATAGGCAGAAAGTAAACTAATATGTATTGAGCACTACTGTGTGCTCTCATTTATATAATTTTGTTTAATTTTTGCAATTCTAAATAAATTATATAATCTTCATCTTTACAGATAAGAAAACTGAGGCTTAGAAATGTTAGTTGATTGGCTGAAGTCTGACTATGTTGTTGTCAAATCAATGCTCTTTCCACAGCTAATTCTTTCATTACTGTCATCCACATGTTGAGTGAGTCAATTCTAATTGCTTTCAACAGCCTGCCTTTGGGGCTGGATTCAGTTAATTCGGGTCTGGGTTTGAATCCCATGTGTGTAATCTGCATCCAGCCATTTAACCTCTCTTAACCTCATTGTAGAATGACGCTAATGCTTCCCCACACCGAGGGTTTTCATGAAGATGAATGATGTAATCTATGTAAAGCATGTAGCGCAGTGCCAGACCCTAGTAAGCCCTTACTACATGGCTGCTACTGCCATTGCCACTAAATGAGCCTTGAATTTTGTTTAATCTTGTGTCCAATAATTGGGTTATCTTGTAACCTGATGATACATCTCAAAATGCTTTGAGGATGTTGTTTTGCTTTTCCTTCTATTTTTAATATATCAAATGATTTCCTCTACTTTCAGAAATTAACTTTATGTTCTATGTCTTAGGGTATGTGCAGAATACTGCAATAATGTTGGCTTTCTTGAGACTGTATATATATGTCTTAGACACTGACTTTTAAATGGGGGAAATTTATTTGATATTTTAAATCTATAATTTAACATTCCAGGTTCTATTTTATTCATGATCTCTATATCACAACTGAATGTAACAGATACTAGCATCAGTACCTGGTATCCTGATACCTCTTAGCTCACAGACTGCTACCTAAAGATAACCTAAGTTTAAAGAGAGGTGGTTTGATGTGGCAGGACAAGCACAGACCAGAGCCAGACCTACCTAGGGAGGTGTCCCTCAAAGGTATCTCTCAGTGTCCTCAAATGGTGGATAATATATATGTAGCCTCCTAGAGTCATTGCAAAGGTTGCATCACACAGTGTGAACAAAGTACCCTGCTCATGCCTGATGCATGATGGGCCTGCTCTCCCTATGCGCTAATGGAAAGGTATTTTCTTATGATACAGATATTCTGATGTGGTTGTGGTTTTGTTCTTTCTTAAATAATAATCAATTTTCCAGCTATCTGTTTCTGGTACCATTGTCCATTTTAAATGTTTGATTTCATACTATTGAGTATAGTTATTTATAAAGTAAATCATTGAATTTGTTCCCACCAGTGATACCAAGAAGCAGCAGGGAATGAGGAAGAGAAACAACAGTGAAGTGGAAGTCGTGGGACCAACAAGGCGTAACAGGAAGAAGGCCAAGTGGGACACGTTAGAGCCTTTGGATACGGGCCTGTCTTTAGCGGAGGATGAAGAGCTGGTGTTACATCTGCTCAGAAATCAGAGCTAGATGCTTCCTGTGCCCGCCTTCTCTTTGATACCTCTGGTCATCATTTTGTGGGCAAGAAGTTGAAAAACAATTGATTTTGGGATGCTTAGGTACCATGTGTCCCATTCCCAAAGGGCACATTCTCCAGACAGAAGCGATCATGCCTCTAAGCCCCTCTCACGGGACGGGCTTTGTGCCGTCACAGAGCATACTCAAGAGTGAGGGTGGATTATACAATTTCTTGAACACAATTTCCAGCATGTGCTCTGTTAGATTTTGTCGGTGGCTTTCTATGCCTTGTCATTAGAAATGCTTCCTTTGTTTTACTGGCAAGTTCTGGAGCTCTTGGTTCATTGTTAGAAATTCCTGTCTTGCATACTATACAGAAGTTTCTATATTATTGTTAAACAAAATTGCTCCTATTTTGATGTATATAATATTTGCAAAGAGAGTATGATGGACCAGCCCTGAGAATGAGTATTTTTGCATTGAGATGATCAATAATAAATATATTTCCTATAAAACTAAGTATTAATGTTTACATTATGTCCAGTGATATCAGAAAACCCTCAAGGGAAGGCTCTTGAGATTACAGTGCTTGGCCATTCCTTAAACAGTTTTTCATGTTCTTAGGTTAGCCTTCTCAAAGATAATGTCATTTGGCTCACACTTGCAGGTTTGCTAGCCATCACTTATAAAATCTATAGAAGTCCTGAATGTGAAGACTCTGACTAAAACCTGATTTCTTACTGAGCACAAAATAGCCTGTAAGTACTCAACAAATGCTGTAGTCAGGAGACACCACATATCCTGACCCACACCCCCCTGCTGATAACGAGGAAAAAGCAAGACAAGACAGAGCATCTTTTTTGTTACAAATAAATGTCATTCTTCAAAGGGGAACAACGTGATGAAGAAATCTGGTCTTGGCATGAAACTACTGATTTTGTCATAGCTTTGTCATCCTCTCATTATTCTGTCCCTTTCCTGCTTCCCCTCTCTGTGAACAAACAAAAAGAATTTTCAGCAGCAGGTGCAAGTCAATCATAAGTCCAAGGACGAGAATTGATGGCATTACACCTGGATACCTTAGACACTCCCAGCTCAGCCTAACTCCGGATTTGCGTCCGAAAAGTTTCTCCTCCTCTTGTATTCAGCATCCTCAGGAGCCAGCACCAACGTCATCTTGCCATCAAAATGAGAAATTTGATGACTCCTCAGCTTCTTGGTTTTCCCACTTCGCTTTACTCGTTCTGTTGATTCCTCTTTGATGAGTACTCTTACTCATTGTTCTCTGTTCTCATAGCTTCTGCCTTTGTCATAGTTCAGCATCTCATCATGACCTGCCCAGACTCCTGCAGGATCTCCTGGCCGGTCACTGTACTTCTCTGGTCTCACATTTCTCCAACCCAGCCCCTCCCACGGTGGTCAGAATTCCCTTCATGGTGCACACAGATCTGAGCATGCTTCTCTCCAGCTGTTGTTATACTCTTGTTATAGTGCTTATCAATGCTGTTACACTTGTTTATAAGCCTGTTGCCCCTTCTGTTTGACAAGTCTCTTGAGAGCAAAAGGACTGTTTCATCCACCCTGTATATCCCCAGAGCCAAACACAGCACCTGCCCTATAATTAGCTTAGGGAATCAATGAGTGGATGTTTATAAACCAAGATAATTTTTAGAGGTCTGTTATAGCACATTGCTATATCACCTCTGGTAGGAAGGATATAGAATGACGGGAATGAGAACTAGATGAAATGGCTATATAATAGGGAAGAAAAGGAAAATAGGCGGGAAAGGAATTTGGTATATAATAACCTGGAAAGATTTTAAAATTAGTTTCTGATATAGGCTCTCTTGGTCTTGACTATTTTCAAAGGGCATGAAGATGCAAGACTGTGTAAACTGAAGGTTTGCCATTGAATGTACTCTGTGCAGTTTTAGATCATTTCTCCTGACCCAAATAAGGAATTAAGGCAGTTTACTTCCCATACGTAAACATTGAATAAATATATCACAAGACCTTTGGTTGATAAACTAGTTTGAGTTGTACTGTTTCTGTGGAACTGAATGGTTCCTGATGAATAAGTACATTGTAGGGGATTTTAGAGTGCTGATTTTTGAAGTCTAGTTAAAACATCAGGATAGTGCTAATAGAAAATTCAGGTAACAAACATATATTTAAGTGGACTAAATTAGCTACCGTTTTTGCTGCCTGTTTTGTCATGTTTGTGGTGGTTAGAGGCCCTTCCATCTCTGACATCAGGGAACAGTGCATGGTCCAAATCTGGACAGCCATTGTTGCCCATCTCCTAAACACAAAGATGGGCCTAGGGTGGATATAATACTCAAGGACAATTAAACTCCTTCCCTGTGAGTGATATGCAGAGAATGAGCAAGAAATGTCTTACCCATGGGGATTTAGTAAGAAGGGAGGGTGTGGATTTGGGGCCTTTGGCAGCCATTTTCTCCAGCTACATGGGGGGCTGCCTTTGAGAGATTGGGGAGAATAAGATCACACAGTAAGGTGAGCAGAGCGATGAGATGGACAAAGAGCCCCGATGGCGTTGTTTGAGCCCCTGGGCTTCAACTTAAGCTATTCCTTGGACTTCCCAGTTACGTCATGGGCCAGTAATTTTTTGCATAAACTAGTTTGGAACTAAATGGATCTGAACATGTGTGTGGTGTAGGGGCTTTTAATTTGCTGGTAGAAAATTCATGTAGCAACACGTGTCAGATTGTATTTTGTTCAGCAAATATTCTCTCCCGCCCCCTCTCTCCCTTTGGGAAGCATGTTCTTAACACCCCACTTTTGCTGGGCTTGGCCGCGTGCCCTGGTTTAGCCCCTGGAGTGTGGTGGAAGCGACTGTGCTGGTTCTGCACGGGGGCTTTAGGATGCATTGATGTTCGCATCAGCCCTCGCGCACTCCTGCCTGCCTCCTTCAGACCAGCATGGACCAGAGAAGACGCTCCTCCGTCTGGGCCCAAGGCGAGAAGACAGGTAAAGTAGACCTGCAGCCACCTCTGCAACCCGTGGAGCGAGAAATCACTGGGACTTGGGGGTTTATCACAGTGAAACCAGACTAATACACAAGGGGAGAGAAGCACGTGACCAATGAGCAAGAGCAGTCGTTCATTCAAGTAAACTCAGCCACTACCGTAGGCCAGACCCTGTCCTTGTGAGAAATACAGACATTTCCCTCTCCTGCTACCATATAGCGGGGGCACGGGGGAAAGAGAAGCAAACTCCTAATTTCAGTGCACCATGAAAAAAGTGGGTGGAAAGAGGAAAGATGATCGCGTGAGGGGGGTGTTGCTGGGATGCAGGAAGTGGGGAGGACATAGGTAGTCGCTTGGTCTAGGACTCAGAGAATAATTCTTGCTTGATGTTTAACCAAGGCCATTCATCAGATTCATGTAAAATGATCCCTAAAGTTACATAAGTCTCTGATAGATGCGCCCAGCAGCAGAACCGTTTGGAGGACTGCCATCTCATAAGCTTGACATGACATTTTAGATTTGTTTGGGGCTATAAAAAATTAAGTTAATTAAATGTAATTAATTTTGTTACACAACATTTGAAATATGCTGAACATAAAAAGTCATCTCTATGACTGTCAGGCTGCCAGAGGCTGCAGATGTTCCTGGAAGGGGTGGGGGGGAGGGAGGTGAGGTAGTGGTGTAGGTAAAGGGGAAAGAGCCTGCAACCGAGGTCTGAAGCCTTGTTTCATGTATTTTAAGACCACTTTAACTAGACATGTGATGATCGTGTGATTTTCTTCCACAGCCTCTGCTGACTAGACGGCCCGGGCAGACGTGTTTTATACCATGTTACCCAGCGCCCGCTCAGTCGGGAATGGGCTGCTAACCCATTAGCCTGGGAGGGTGGCTGATGCAAAAAGCGCTGCCCAAACAGGGACAAATTGAGCGAATAACTGTCTTACTCTCAGAAACTGAAATGCAGGTAGTGATCAAAACGGGAAGGTTGTGAGATAGACCAGGGAGCACGTGATGGGCAGAAAGAGCTCAAATTAGGAGTTAGAGCTGGAAGTGAAAAAGAACTCTGGCAAAAAGATAAAAGGGTAAGGGACCCAACTGGTCTTGGGACAAGAGGCAATGCATGGAGAGTAGTGAGTTAAGGCCGTCAGGCAAAGACCTGCCGAGTCTAGTTGTTGATCTCTCAGATTTAGACGGACCCTCTGGTTCTTGTCTCCATGAGGTTTAACCTGCTCATGGGTCTCAAATTTCTATATGAGTCTGTCTCCTGCACTGCCTGAAGTGTAGTAAGATCCCATTGCCTTGCCTGAGATGGTCTGAGTTTTGGGGTGTTTTGCACCCCAAGGAGCTCCAGTGAAACAAAATACTCCAGTGCAATGCTGCTTAGATTTTAACATGCATAGGAATCACCAGGGGGTCTTTTAAAAGTGCAGATTCTGATTTAGTAGGTCAGGGGTGGGGCCTGAGATTGTGCATTTCTAACAAGCTCCCATGAGATGGTGATGCTGCCGGCCTCTGGCCTCATTTGAGCAACGAGGCTCTAGTGGAATTCAGAGAGTTATTAAAATCACCATTCACAGGGATTCTATCCGAGTTCCAGCAGGAAACAGATGGCACACACAAATGAGGATGATTTTAAGGGGTTTACTAAAAGGATTATTTACATAGGGAGGGCAGGGTGAGGAAACCATAAAGACTCCTGTACCCCGAGGCTTAGGAATAGACGTGTTACCACCACTGGCCCCAAGGGGATGAGAGTGGTTGGTTACCAAAACCTGGAAGGAGAGAGGAGGGTAAACATCTGCTTTGTGACCTTCAATTGAGATATACAGCCAGCCTGAGGTGACCACGAGGAAGAAGCCAGGAGAATAATACCAGGACCTGCCTGCCTGCCTTTCTAGACTCCTGCCTGCGGTCCCCATTGACCCTACCCAACCCAAAGCCAGAGGGCGAGTCGCCTGTAAATGTCAATTGTGGTCTCCCAGGACACAGAGCAAGGAGGGAAAGTGTGTATGGAAGAAGACAGGAGAAACTGGCACAGAGATGTAGGGTGTAAATAGGTAGAATCTTCTTTTGTGGAAGGAGAAGGGGCTTCACCCCTTCATCACCTACTGTTCTCAGTACTAGAGATACAGCATTCAGCCGAGGTGCCCACGTGTTAGCCTGCACCATTAGGCATGATGTCCACCTTAGCAGCTGTGTTCGTGAACCGTCTTCTGTTGCTCACCCACCTTTCCTCTCTAGGAAGCGCTTCCTTTGGTCCCCAGGCCGTTCTGTCCCCCACGTCGTTGTGATGGGACTTTCACTGAAGCGAGGCTCACAGCCAGCACCAGTTACCGGTTTTTTTCAATGCAGTCAGTGAGCTGCATCTTCACTGGAATGGTGAAAGTCTTTCAGTGCTCTTCCTTGGGGAGCCTACCTGGGGTGTTGTTATGAACATTTTCTCCAACACAAAGAGTAAACCCAGCACTTCCGAGTGTTAAACTGAGTGTTACTCTGTTAGGTTGCAGTGGGAGGGTGGGCGCT